TCAAAGTGACGACATATGAGGATCGCCAAAATGATTTATTTAAATTTTGAGAAAGCAAAGAAAAATTAACTATTGAATTTATATCAAAGACAGTTAAAGTGATTATAATTATTACTATTATTATTATTATTATATAAAGAAAGAAAATATATAAAAAAAAAACCAGGAGGCTGAAGGATGACTCTGGCGCACCCTGCAGGAGAACGTTGCTTTCTTAAATTATTTTTATTTTCTTGTGGCAGTGTGATGAAATCTGTGACTGGGTAACTGAGGTTTTTTTTGAAGCACTATGAAGAGCCGACCGGAGGAGAGCGACGCCGGACACGACCGCCAATGCCGACCAACCGTGATGTTTTGACTGCATGGCGACAAATGACAAATTATAGGAATGGCTGGAAATCCAAAAGAAGAAAAAAAAATAGATTTTTGTCACACTATGAAATATACAATGTGAATATATATAAAGAGATCACTTTTATTTGTGGATATTATGGGGAAAATATTTGGTTAATAAAGTCCTTAGTCATGTTTGCACACTTCTGCCTTGGATTCCTCTGATTTTTTGGGTCATTCTGTGTAAAACACAATCATCTCAAATGGAAATGAAATGGAATATTTATGGAAAAAAAGTGTTTTGATGAAAGAAAAACAGAAAGTTTCAGACTGCAGTGAATGATTAAAAACCTGTGATTAAATGAAACGTTTACTTTATTGTTAACTTTTCATGAATTTATTCAAAACGTGCAAAAAAAGTCTCTTTGGAAAAATTAACTTTATTAATAAAGTTAATATATAATTAACTATATTTAACTTAACTAAAATATTGACCTGTAGTTTTTGACCCTTTGAACAGAGAACTGTTTCATTATAACTAAACAGTACCTGATGCTCAGGGTTCCACTTCCTGTTCCTTCTCCCTTTATAAATATGACTCATGGTCCGTGGATGATCAGACACATAAACACCGGCAGGTGGAACATCGGTACCAGTTTATAAATATGACTCATGGTCCGTGGATGATCAGACACATAAACACCGGCAGGTGGAACATCGGTACCAGTTGGACTGGTACCGATGTTCCACAAACAGGAAGTAGATTCTTCATCACGGAGGCCGTTTGTGACAAACCTGGAGGGAAACTTCATCAGGTTCTTCCTCTGTGGATCTGTCTGCCACTGGCACCAACAGCTCCACCCTGTGGCTGTGAATAATTCATGCCAGCACCAGGACTGGGACCAGGACCAGGACCAGGACTAAACTGTCACACTGATGGTACCAGCCCTGGAGAACACTGAAGGTGAAGGTCAAGATGTGAATATATATATATGAGTCATGTGACCTCCTGCGGTGATGTCACCACAGGAGGTCACATGACTGATCATAGATGACGGTCCTGAACACTGACCTGATCACAGTGATCAATACGTCAAGGAAAGAAAAATGTAGCTCTACAGCCTGAGGTGAAGACACACACACACACACACACACACGTGTCATGTGACCTGGGCGTGGTCTGACCCTTTGTCTCAGTTTCCCGCTCTTCACCCTCACACACCTGAAGCTCATCCGTCTGATGGGCGACGCCCACACAGCTCAGTTATAAAAGCCCTGACTCCACACCTGGTTCTGGTTCTGTGGGAGTGGGTTTGTCTGTGTCTGTGTCTGTGGTTCTGCTCACATGTTTCTGTTGCCACTGTTTAAGTTTTTTTTTTGTTTTTTTTTTTGTTTGAGTTCACAGGTGTTCAGAATCGTTTACTCTGGTCTGGTCTCTGTTTCTGTCTTTCATGGTCCACGTTTCCTCCTCTGTCAGAAATACTTTTTGTTTCTGACAAATACACGATGGTACTGCAGTAATGAAGACATTACTGCAGTACCATGTACTTCAACCTGGAGCTCACTTTAAACAACGTTACACGTCGGGATCTGAACCTGTTTTATGTCCTTCCTGTTCCTGTCAGTCAGAGCGCAGGGCGGACGGACCTGAAACCACAGAGGGATCTGAACTTTGAAGTAGAACCAGGACCGTCCTCGGTGTCGAAGGAGGACAGAAGTGTCCAGAGAATTTTTAAACAGTTGTAACTTCTTCAACTTTGTGTTTTTAAAACATGCAGTAACCCTGAGGAGCCACAAGGCGGACACCCAGCCAGTGCTTTGGTACCAACAGCACAGGTGTCTTCCACCTAAGAGGTCACAGTCACAAAAAGATGGTGTTTACTGTCTGACCTCTGACCTCTGACCTTTGACTCTGTTCCTCCTCATTGTTCCTAATGACTCACCGGTGTCACCCTGTGGCAGCGGCAGGACGTGAACACACCGGCGTCGTCCCAACTGGGTTTGATAATGAGGCGCCTGAAGACGTGTCAGGAGACAGGAGGACAAAAAAGATGCTGTGATACAGAGGGACGTCCCCCTCCTCCCCCTGGACTTCACACATCACTTCCTCGCTCCTCTCTGTGGCGTCAGAAGAACTCCCCTCCTCCCTCCTGCTCCGCTGCGGCTCCCTCCGGTGGCTCCTTTATTTCCGTCTTCAGTTTTGACCTGATCCAAACTCAGACTTTGTTGCTTGACAGAAGGTTACGTTATATTTTAGTCCGATGAAAAAATACAACTGAAAACTGCACAGAAATGATACTGTTTTTGTACAATACTGGTACCAGCCGTTACTGACTTTATTTGGACCAGAAGACTTATGGACCGTCACGGTCCCCGGGCCGTGGGTTGGGAACCAACACAGACTCCGATCATCTGTCGTCACGTCAGTGAATAAATATTAATGCTGATCAGCAGCGACAGGAGAGCGTGTGTGTAACCAGCAGCGTCCTCCGGGTGTCACTCCACGTCCACGGGGTCAGTGGAGCTCAGCCACGCCCCCTACAGGTCAGAGAGCGAGCCCGGCGGTCATGACATCACTGTCCCAGAAAGGTCGACTCTCTGACCTCAGAGGGTTTGACCGTGAGCCGTCACATGACCTTTTATCATCATTCCACCAACGTTCCAACGTCTTCCTCCTCGGCTCAGCATTTATTCACTTCACGTTCAGTGGATTTTTGTCCTGATTTTCCATCACGGCACAGAAGAAGATGATCTGAAGCTCTGGACTTCTGTCACTGGTCATCAGCTGATGCTGCCCCTCCGCCCTGAGGCTCAGTGGCTCTGATGTTTGTTACTGTCTGAGTCTGTATGGAACGTCGCGCTGCTCATTTATTACATCAACAAATTCTAACGTTTATGATTTGAACTGAAATTCTAACGTAAATATAAACGACTTCAGGAAGAAGAGGAAGTCCCCACGAGTCTGAACAACCTGCACAGCTTCAAGAGGAAATGTGCGCTCTGTGCTGCTGGATGTGTGTGTGTGTGTGTGTGTGAGAAGCAATCACAACAAGCCACTTCTTATACGGCCACGGATGATGAAGCTCCTCCGGTCGACACCATGTGTGAAATTGATTTCAGTGAATCTGTCAGAAAAACAAACATTATCAAGAGAAGATGTGGTGAAGATTATCCACACGACACACGACACACGACACACCGCCCTCCACTGGTTACATGTTCCTGTAGATGTTCTGTAACAACATCAGGTTCTCCAGAGAGGTGGGCCTGGAACACGGTGCTGGTCCTGGGAGAACACCGCGGAGTTCTGCTCCGTCGGGTCTGAGAAACAGGATCAGAATAATTCATTGATGTCTGGAGATCCAGGGAATATAACGGTGAACGATGAAAACCAGCGGAGGAGAAAAGGCAGTGGCTGCAGCGGGGCCTCAGTGACTGACGGTGACTGCACGTTGAAAAGGTCACAGTCGCAGCAACATTATTAATTCATTTGTACAGAAGCTCTGACGACATGAAGCCTGTTATTGGAGAACAGTCCAGAACTCTGAGGCGGTCGATGACGAAGGGTTGGTTAATGTTGTCAGAAATAAAGTGAATATTTTCTTCTGTTAGTAAATTTTGGATATTAGCTGTAAAGTGAGTGAAGAGTGCAGTGAATGTCAGCGTCAGAACTGAACTCCAGTTCTGATCACCGTCTGTTGTTTGGACTCATTCAAACCAAGAACTGAGTTCTAGAATATTTACTTTTTTCTTGAATCCGTTTCTCTTCACTCCAAACATTTCCTGGTCAACGTGAACCGACCAATCAAGCTGCTCCTCAGGTCATAGTTTTACTGTAGGAGGAAAAACTGGAGGAAACCCTCAGAGGCGTCTGGTCGTCTCCTCCTCCTCCTCCTCCTCCTCCTCCTCCAGTCTGGACTCCACAGCAGCAGGATCGTTGTGTCGTTTAGACAAACAGCAGCTCAGTTGGAACCTGTCAATCATCTACGATCTCCATACTGAAGGTCACGGAGCCGAGAGTCGACCGCTCGCTGTGAGGACCAGTCTATTTATGGAGTCTCTGTTCACTGGGGGGGGGGGCTCTGACTCAACATGGCCGCTGCCTTACATCAGATCTGTTGGTTCCTCTGGTTCTGTCACAGAGAACCAGACCCCACAGTCAGCACTAAACCAGTCAGTGCAGTGGTAGTGATGATACGAAGAGACTGAAGAGACTGATCTGTTTCTAAAAAGATCATCCAGAAAGTTAGATTTTAGAAATCTGTCGTCAGGTTAAAATCACTCCCTACAGTTAAAGTCCAGTTCTTCAAGCAGCCAATCATGTTACGGCGTCAAATGCCAACGTAGCCGATGGCGTTGATCAGGTCGGGTTGTTTACAAACACAGTACGCAGGTTTCACACAGAGTCGTTATTTATTCAAGATAAATATGGATTCACAGATCGACACGTTCATGCAGCTAAGAAAAAAAAAACAATGAGGTGAAACTGTCTTCATCCAACGCCAGCTCCTCTTCATCACCTCACACCAACACAGGGAGATCATCACCATCATCATCATCATCACCATCATCTTCATCATCATCATCATCATCATCTTCATCATCATCATCATCATCATCATCTTCATCATCATCATCATCATCCCCTTCTAACCTTGACAGTGACAGTGACAGGTAGATCAGACGCTGACGGACCAATCAAATAATAAATAACTACCAATGACAGGAAATTGAAAAGTGGTCACATGACAAACAGGCTACTGCGTTCTTTACCCCCGCCCCCGCCCCATCACGACCCCTGGAGTTCCAACAGGTATGAATTTGTGAACATGCAAATATCACACCATCGTCACTGTGATGTCACTTCCTGCCGCCGTCGCTCACTAGGACTTCTCATCGCGCTTCTTCTTCTGGTACTTCCTGAACTGGGACTGGATGGCCACCGCGGCCTTCTCGGTCTCGGGGTTTTCCATGTCGATGTCGAAGTCCTCCGGGAGGTTGGACTTGGAATCGTCTGAAAAAAAAAAAAATGGTGAAAATGTCGTAAGAAG